AAGCGTAAAAAGCAACACCATTCCTAACATAATTTACTGGAACTGCATCTCTTTGCGCTTCCAGTGACTGCAATAATCGGCTGCCATAAGAACTTAACAGGGAGACGGAAAACTGAAGATTGCCATTCATCAGGACACTTTAATAACTGTAATACAGTCCTACAATTTCTATAAGAGAATTCAAAATATTCTAATTCGTAATTCCTATAAAAAATTCGAGTTCCCATGAAAAAAATTCTCAATTCTTATAAAAATTCCTATAAAATTCAGATAATATTTCTATACTTCAGATAACAAATTTTTCCTATAAATCCCTAACTTTAATCCCTACAAAAATTCAAGTTTAGATAACAAATTATTATCCGCAGTTGGGCAGACGATAGCGTGCAAAAATAAAAACAAATATATTACTTCTTACACAGACATACAATTCTCTGCAACTTCACTGCATTTTGCAACCATATCCCTTGCCCCTCCCTCCCTCTCTCCGAACTCTTCCTCAGCTTTCTGTCTAGACAAGATGGGTGAAATAAATTTCAAATACAGACTCGGCAAGACGTCCAGCTCCTTTCGGGAAAGAAAGTACACACTTAGTCGAAAGCGTACCGGCTGCCGGTACGAGGATGCGTTTTCTGCACAGTTCCTCCGCAGGTTTTTTCGCCAGTGGTACGCTCTTCCCGACAGATGCTTCTAGCTAAAAGAATTGTGATTGGCCACCACAACTGTTAGAAATTATTATTACAATGACTCCCAATCCATGCCCAAAAAAAGTCAGCGCTCTGGATGCTTCGGTTGCGGAGTTACGACAAATTTCACGTGTTCGTACGTGAGTGAATACTTTCTTCGCTTGCGGTTACTCAAACACGACCCTAGGTAATGTTCAGAAATTTTCAGCACTCCAGCTGCTCTGGTTGCAGAGTTACGTCAAATTTCACGTGTTCGTGCGTGATTGGCAAAGTGAATGCTTTCTTCGCTTGCGGTTACTCAAACATGATCCTGGGTAATGTTCAGAAAGTTTCAGCACCCTAGCCACTCCGGCTGCAGAGTTACGTCAAATTTCATGTGTTCGTACGTGAGTGCTTTCTTCGCCCGCAGTTGGTCAGAAACGGTATTGGGTAGCGCCCAGAAAGTTTCAGCACTCCAGCTGTTCTGGTTGCGGAATTTCATGCATGTGCACTTGAAACTTACGTGACACGTGAAAGTGATGCATAAGTCATTTTTGCGTGCACTTGGTCAAAGGTTACCATCGGTTATGCTCAGAAAGTCCAGGTCCTCCGGCTGGCTAATTCTAAAGTTACAAAAGAGCGTGCGTGAAATTTTCACGTGTTCGCACGTAAGATGCAGAACAGCTGACAAGTAATTTACTTTCGCGATCACAACAGTAGGCGACAAGTAACGCTGCAAAATTGCAGCTCTCTGCAGCTTATTGGTCAGCTTAAATCTAGAGTTGGCGTGATGCCAGTTTAAACTTCGACGCGTGCGTACGTGAGACCTGGGGGTGCGTGAAGGCTGGATTTAAAATCTTTGAATTAGGCGCGGCCAAGGAACATCTCCGTGAAGTTTCAGCCTCCTAGCATGGGCCGCTCCCGAAAACGCCTTCCCGCCAAAAAAACTGTCACGTGCCCATACGTGAGAAAAACGCGGAACTGGGCGTCCATTTTGCGGATACGAGCCCGTACGTGTGTGTAGATTAAGTCACCAAATTTTCAGCCTTGTATCTTTTGTGAATCTCGAGATGAAAACTCGCTATAGACGTACAAATAGACACACATACACACACAGACAACCCCTCGACAATGTGCGTTTTTGCATTGCATAGCTGCAAAAAACGCATAAA